AGAATGCAGAAATGACCAAGATAGCATTGATATTTAATCATTTGAATTTCAGAACACTTAATTGTGCTCATTTCTATGAGAGATGATCTGTACATAGACTTTCACTTGTACAGGCAGCCATTTGAGCAGGAAAATATGATACCATGTGGTTTAAAATAAAGAAATGGTTGCGTCAGAGTTGTATCCTTTCATTATATTTATTCAATCTGTAAGACGAGCAAATAAACTGAGAAACTGGATTATATGAAGAAGAATGTGGCATCTGGATTGGAGGGAGACTCATTAACAACATGCAGTATGCATGTGACCCAACCTAGAAGCACTTAATGATGAAGATCGAAGACTACAGCCTTCAGTATAGATTACACCTCAACATAAAGAAAACAAAAATCTTCACAACTGGGCCAATAAACAACATGATAAATGAAGAAAAGATTGTAGTTGTCAAGGATTTCATTTAATTTGGATGTACCACCAATGTCAGTGGAAGAAGCAGTCAGAATATTAAAAGAGGCATTGCATTGGACAAAACAGCTGCAAAAGATCTTTTTTAGTGTTAAAAAGCAAATATGTCATTTTAAAGACTAAAGTATATTTAATCCATATGTATGTGAAAGCTGGATATAAATAAAGAAGACTGAAGAAGATTTGATGCATTTGATTTATGGTGTTGGTGAGGAATAATGAATATAACATTGATTTCCAGAAGAACAAACAAATCTGTCTTAGAAAAAAGTATAACCAGAATGTTCCTTAGAAGCAAGATGGGGAGACTTCATCTCATATACTTTGGACACATCATCAGGAGGGACCAGTCCTTGGAAAAGAACATCTTGTTTGGTAAAGTAGAGGGTCCGTGAAACAGAGGAAGACCCTTGAGATGGATTGACACACACTGCAACAGCATGCTGAAATAAAGCAATAATTGCAAGCATGATGTAGGATCCGACAGTGCTTTGTTCTGTTATACATAGGACCACTATGAGTCAGAACCAATGTGATGACACAAACGGACTGTTCTTCTGGTACTTTTAACATATATTGTTGTTGTTAAGTGCTGTCAAGCTGGTTCCCACCCATAGTGACTCTGTAAGAGTTTCCAAAGAGCAGCTGGTGAGCTTCAACATCTGACCTTGTGGTTCAAATTGACTTTGCAGTTCAGCACATTAGCCCACAGTGCCACACTTGCATATATTACGCTGTCATAAAAAAAGCTCAACAAACACAAAACATTTATTGGTATTTGAGGGGATGTCCATCTTACCTGCCTTCATTCATTTCATATGTTGTTGTTAGGTACTGTGGAATCTCTTTGAACTTGCAGATTTGTTTCTTCTTCTCCAACACTATAATTCAAATAAATTGATTCTTCTACAGTATTGTCCAACTTTCACATGCATATGAGACTACTGAAAGTACCATGACTTGGGTCAGGTGCACCTTAGTCCTCAAAATGACATCTTTTCTCTTTAACACTTTAAAAAAGGTCATTTGCAGCATATTTATCTAAGGACATATCCAAGCAAAGTATTGAAGCCGAAGTCTGGGTTCTTCTTGTTACTTATAGTAAAATGCAAGCGGAAAGAGGTAAATAGAGAAAAGAACTGTTAAGTAAAGAAGAACCAGTCACTAGGTAATTTGGGAATTTCTCAGCCTATAGATTACAAATGATGCTAAATTGGGAAGATTCACTATAAGGAAAACACTCTGGAAATAGGTAAAAGGGTGTGGCTGGATAACAAATTACCCATGTAATTTATGGATCCACCCAACCATCTCAGCAGAAGCCAAGAATAGAGAGACAAGTTATCTAAGAAAGGCTGGTTGGAAGACTGATCTTTTTTAATGGTGTGATCCTTATGACATTCAAGGGAGACCCACAAGGTGTTTGAGATTGTTTAATCAGCAGAAACTCCCGGTGTGAACTGAAAGTTTTGGGACAAAATAAAAAAGAGTTGTTGGACTTGTCAACTTCTATGGGCAGGAAGCAGTCTCAGTGCTACCCTTCCAGAAGATCATCGGACAATATCATGGAGATCCCACGCAAGTAAAATTTTTCTAAAGGTAATTAAAAAAATGGCTGCAACCATACGTTCACAGAGAACTTCCAAAGGTTCAACCCGGATTCAGAAGAGGACATGGAATGAGGGATATCATTACTAATATCAGATGGATCTTGACTGAAAGCAGAGAATACCAGAAGATGTTTATTTGTGCTTTATTGACTACACAAAGACTTTTGATTGTGTGTATCATAACAAGCTATGGACAACATTGTGAATTATGAGTAATCTGGAACACTTAATTGTGCTCATGAGGAAACTATAAGTTGACCAAGAGGTTTGAACAGAACAGGGGACCACTGAATGGTTTAAAATTAGGAAAGGTGTGCTCCAAGGTTGTATTCTATCACCATACTTATTCAATCTGTATGCTGAGCAAATAATCCTAGAAGCTGGGTCATATGAAGCAAAACACGGCATTAACAACCTACAATATGCAGATGATACAATCTTGCTTGCTGAAAACAAAGAGGACTTAAAATACTGATGAAAATCAAAGACCACAACCTTCTAGATGGGTTGCACCACAATGCAAAGAAAAAAAAAGACAAAAAACACCTCATCACTGGGCCAATAAACACCATCCATATAAATGGAGAAAAGATCGAAGTTGTCAAAGACCTCATTTGCTTGGATCAACCATCAACACTCATGAACACAGCAGTCAAGAAATCAAATAGCATATTGCATTAGACAAATCTGCTGCACAAGACCTCTTTAAAGTGTTGAAGAGCAAAGATGTCAGTTTGAGGACTAGGGTTTGCCTGACCCAAGCCATGGTATTTTCAATAACCTCATATGCATATGAAAGTTGGACAGTGAATAAGGAAGACCGTAGAAGAATTGATGCATTTGAGTTATGGTGTTGGAGGAGAATATTGAAAGTATCATGGGCTGACAAAAGAACAAACAGAATTGTGTTGGAAGAAATACAACCAGAGTGCTCCCTGCAGGTCAGGTTGCCAGACTTTGTCTCTCATACTTCGGATATATTGTCAGAAAGGACTAGTCCCTGGAGAGGGATATCATGTTTGGTAAAGTGGCTCAGAGAAAAAGAGGAAGACCTCTTGTGAGATGGATTGGCACAGTGGTGACAGTGATGGGCTCAGATGTAGCAATGATTGTGAGGTTGGTCCAGAACTGGGCAATGTTTTGTTCTGTTGTGCATAGGGTTGCTATGAGTCGATACCAACTCAATGGCACCTAAGAACAACAACAAACTCTTCCACAAGAATTACTCAGAGGCTGGAGGTGTCCCACATGTACAGTGTGGCAGAGCTGCAGGTGCAGAGGACAAACCTGAACGTCCAGATGCAGAGCTGTGAGTCACAGAGGATTATCACCAGATACTTTTCCCCACTGGATTTTTAAGTCATTTGAGATCAGTGATTTCTTTATTCCTTCCATTCGATCTCATTTGGAATGGGAATGTCTACAATTATTAGCTTATGCCTGTTCCATTGTTGTAGTTTGGAAGCAGATGATTAGTTTCCTCATTTCACAAGTCCACAGATGGAGAACAATCTTCCCTGGGATAGACATACCCAGAATCTCACCATACCTTACTTCTAATGACTTGAAAGTTTTGTTTTGTTTTTTTTTACTATGAATCTTTCACAACAAAAATGTAGACTGTGGTAAGCATAAAGAATGTCTTCCAAAAGATATATGTACTTTCTAACCCCTTGGATTTGTGAATATATCAACATTGTAAAAGAGAAGTACCTTAGATGGTAAAATATATGATTAAGTTAAGTATCTTGAGAAAAGTGCTTACTCTGGATCATGTAGGTGGGCCCAATACAATACACCATTACATGTATCCTTATAAGAGAGAGACAGAGGGAGCTTAGAGCATGACACATATGGATGGGAAGGTGACATGGATACTGAGGTAGAATTTGGAGTGATGTGATCTCAAACCAAAGAATGCCCAAAGCCCCCCAAAATCTGGAATAAACAAGGAACAGATGTTCCTGTAGAACCTCCAGTAGGTGCATGACCCTGCTGAAGCTAGATCTTGAACTTCCGATCATTAGAAATGAGAGAGAATAAATTTCTGTTCTTTTACACTCCCAAGGTTGAGGTAAGTTTTTACAATAGTCCCAGGAAATGAATACCCACATTTTGGGCAAAATTTACTGCTCAAGTTAGTCATCAGTATCAATGCAGAGAGGTCATTGAATCCTCCACACAACTTTTTCCCCTCCACCAACCAATCCTGTTGGAAGATCTGAGTGAATTTGACTGGATGGTATCACCTAAACTTTTAAGAACTAAGATTAATGACTGGAAATGTCTTTTTCTCTGAAAAGACAAAGCAATTTCCTAACAAGGATAGAACATTATTTAATATTCCAAAGAGACATTGGTGTAGAATGGAGAAAGAATCCAGGGTGTAGTGGGGAGGTATGAAGTACGGGTACCTTCTTCACTCACTCTGTTCCTTGAATGAGTTATTTGGACCTTAAAAGACATGCCGCAGAGGCGTGTTGAACTAGAAATCTGTTTTTTACCCTCAGGATAGAACTCCAGTTTTTCAAAGATAAAACATCTGTTTTCTTGACACAAAGACATGAAATGTAGTTTCTGACATTAACTAGAGTGGATAAACAGGCTTTCTTATTCGGAGTTTCAGCAGCCCTTATCCAAACAGATGGGCTCCTGCTATAAAAGGAAATCAAGCATCAGAGTCTCATTTGCCATATAGGTTGGTTGAGTAATTTTCCAGATTTTCTTCCTCTCTGCTCCTTTACTTCTTACCTTTACTCTCAATTTCCCATTTTCTCTTGTTTAGGTTGATTCCTCAGCTGTGATCACTAAAAAAAGGCTCCAGGACTTAAATGTCTCTTCTATTTGCAGGTATTGGAGACGAGACGGGCCTCTACTAAAGCAGTGAGAAAGTTTTCTTTCTTGTGTCTAACTTTTTCGCTGCAGGTGACCCCCGAGGAGTTTATGAACTACTATGCAGGAGTGAGCGCTTCCATAGACACCGACGTGTATTTCATCGTCATGATGAGAACTGCCTGGAAGCTCTGAATGTATGACCTGGGGCACTAGGGTCTTGGGTACAATCACGTGGCTCCAAATGATTAAACATCAGCTGAAAAACAGGATCATCTTTGATTTGTGTTCAGTCCAATGTGCCTTCCATGTCAAAACGCATTGCATTTTCTATAGAGAAAAAGGCAGAAATAAAGAGACTAACTAGTTAACTTTGACTTTAAGTTAGCTCTAAAATAGAAATTCTCTAAAAAAAAAAATCTGTAAAGCTTCTACTACTATGACTGAAGCCTCCAGATGTCTAACACACATCAGGTTTCTTTCTTGGCCGCTGATAAAAGTTTGCATATTTTCATATGGATTCCGGTGTGGCCCTGTAAAATCAGCACTGGACTGCAAATCACCAGGTTGGCTCTTTAATCCCACCAGCTGCTTCTTGGGCAGTCTATACAGGGCTGCTATGGGTTGAAACTGACTCAAAGGCACTCAGCAACAACAACAACAACAACAACTAGTTTATCCAGGAGTCCTGGCATGGACTGCTAACCACAAGATCAGCTACTCCTTGGAAACCCTATACAAGGTTACTATGAGACAGAAACAACTCGATGACACTTAACAACAAAACCAGTTTAGCTATAGTTTATCTCTACCTCCTAGATGGTCCATTTCTGGGTGAGACAATCTATGTAATTTTATGACTGATTTATCTCAGTTTTTACAACTGAATCTGTTTCTTTTGCCTGATTTGAAATGGCATTGATTAGCCAACTCCCTTCTTCATCAACAGAGGGTTGTTTCCTTGAGGAGTTAGAGTTCTGAATGTTCAAAGTGTCCCTGTGGTTAGAACTTTGAAGCTGTGCTGTGCTCTCAGGTTTTATGTAGAACCTCTTGCCATGTGCTTGCACAGATCCTATTAGCAACCTTCATCTAGTGGAATGTTTCCTTTCCCCCTCTCTGCCTTCAGCCAACTGTATTAAGTCCCCACCAACAACAGGAGGTTGAATTGACATAGACTAAAAACACAGACATACTCCAAAGTAGATTTTCCATCCTGACAACCCTTAACCGAAAGTCACTTCTTGTCAGCACTTTGACTTCATTTTGCTGATGTGTGGGATCTTCCCTTGAAAGACTGGCAGAAGCAAAGGCAGCCCTAGCTTCTGGGAAATTGATGTTGAAACTGCAGCCTTCTCTTTGTGTTTGTGTCTGAGACCAGGGATAAAAGTTCTCTTGTGATGACAGATGCCATCAGTTGAAGAAGCTGGTGGGAAAGGGAGAATGGGATGACTGCCATCCCTTGCTACTCAAGGGTGCCATCTTTGTTCCTGGTGGCAGTCATCCCTTGGTTTAAGAAGATGGGTTGCAGGCAATAGTGTTCTTTTAGATCATATGGATTTAAGTGACTCTGGGTTCCAGATCTGAAGACACTTGCCATGTTTTTGATCACCGTACTTGTTTGCTTTTTATTTCACAGACTTGGAAGTTGAGTAGGATTATGTATTGAATTAAAAACTAAAGACACAGGTATTGCCAGATGAGAATTAACAGCAGTCACTAAAGAAGGCACCTTACTTTATTTCTCTTTGAGAAGTGAAATGCTCATTTACTGGGGTGACAGGCTGGAAAAAGGACCTCTTGTCCTTGAGGATGGGCACATTCCCGTATATTAGGAGGCTAACTCTTTTGAAATGTATGACACAGTTTGATGTTTCCATTGGCTTTTTAAAATCTAGGTTTTCATAGAGGTTACTAGACCAAAAGATGCCAAATGTTATGAGGAAATAAATATATAAGAGTAAAGCCAGAAGAAATGATGACGGCATATGTAGAAAAGATATCCTAATTTCTGCCACTTGTACTCTGTAGATCGTGGCTAAAGAAAGTCCTGTTTCCTGGTCATGGCAGGTTTCAAGCTTACTGTTCTAGATAGATCCATGCCTTTGGTTTTGGAAATGACATGTGGCCCTCTTTCACTGAGCCCGTAGACTTAGCATGAAATTCTGACTAAAGACTAGGTTGTAGCTGTCAGCTTTGTCTTCCCCAGTTGTACCTATCTTCCTATATAATGTAGGCACAGGGAATAGCGATCAGATTTCAGATAACCCATATGGCATGTTGTGTTTGGTCAAATTCAGTTCCCTCTCTGTTATCAGTTTGGGGTTTGGACCCCACAAGCAAAGACCCTACAAAGACCCTCTCACTCTCTGTAAACAAGATCTCCTACTAAATGGATGGTCAAGGATCCCTCCATTCTGATTCCAAGTGTTGGCTGTGATTTCTTACATAGTCAGGAAAACCTAAGATGCTAGAGGTGAATTGTAGAGGGAAGCTGAATTTTTCCAGCCAGAAGGTCACCTGATTTTCATTCATTTAAACCTTGATAGATTTCTTCACAGGCAGATGGCATTCCAAAGGACAATGGGCTTGTGTTTTTTGGTCTGGTAGTAAGCAAGGAATCTTGTGTGTTGTACCCTAATAGCAGCTTGTAAGGTAGAGCTGGGGACAGTTTACATTGGCTGCAAACTGACTTTAACCATACCATGGATTTGGGGTAAAAATTGATCCCATCACCTTTGTTTAATGAGTCATTGCTGGATGCCATTCACACTGTTCTTAGGATATGAGGATAGACAATGACCTATTCTAAATGTAAAACAAACACTGACCAACAGATGCTTCAGACCAAACCAACAGCCCCTATTTGCTGGTGAGAGAGGGAAGAGAGAAGGTGAAGAATAAGCCATCAGCTGAAACTCTACTCTCTGAGTCCTTTCTTAGACTCTGAAGCCAAGACAATTGGGACCCTTCAGATGGCAGTGTGTTGAGGAATTACTTAGTAAATTGACAAATGTAGACTTGTATCGACAATGCAAGTAAACACCTATTTATTCTTGAAGCAAATAATTGTCTCAGTCCTTTTGTTTTCTTTTGGCCCATGAGATTTGCCTCAATGAGCCTTAAGAGTAAAAGTTGATTCCACCCTCACTACCCTAGCTAAAGATGGAACTGTTCTGCTGATGTTTAATCAAGTGGGAAAATTAAATTAACCACATATATTCTTGGATAGTGTGTAGCATCCAAGAATTTCTCCTTCACAAAATTCCACTAACACCCTGTGAGTCATACCTTTCTTGATGTATGTATCTCTCTTTTGGGCATTCAGTCAAAAGTTTCACAGCTTCTAAGTTTCCAGATTGGTTGACAGCTTACTTTCCATGAAATTATAGGGTGTTCTTTTAAATTAAGAGCTTGGTGAATGTGCCCATGACTTACATTTTAGAAACATTTATGACTCAGAGGAAAAACAAAAGTGTCACAATCTGAGAGACTGTCCCGTAATGCCGTTGATTGCTTGCTATGTACTGGATCCATTTGAAAGCCATTGTTTCTAAACATGCTTTCCTCTAAATTGCTTATGTAAAAATTATATAACCTTGATGGGGGGAGCTAGTCCTTTTATTGTAATAATAAGTAAATGAGAAGAAACATGCCAACCTCTAAGTACATTTTCTCAAATGATTTGCTCTAAAACAGATGACGGGTGAAATCTGTTGAAAGAAACATAAACAAATGATTGATGGGCTTCTGAGAACATGGCTGTGTGAGAAGAATTCTTTTTGTTGTCTCAGTTGGTGTGGTGAGAGGTTGTGGTGAAACAGCTCTTCCTCTCTGAGAATAGCATGACCTTCTTGCTTCATTCTCACACCTGCTTCGCTAAAGCCAGTTTTTTTTTTCCCCCTCAGCAAAATATAGTGGAAGGTGCTCTTCAGGAGTGAAGCCCACTGAAAATAGTTAATGAGTTAGTTGCTGAGGTTTTGTGATTCACTTTGCAACTGCCACAAAGGTATATTATAGCAGGGAAGAAAGATCTCAAAATATGGTGGCCCTTTAGTCTTTTCTAGATTCTTCTCCCTATGTTTTATTGTTGAAGCTGTTAAGCGCCATTAAGTCAGATCTGACCCATAATGACCTTGTATAGGGTTTCTGAAGAGCAGCTGGTGAGTTTGAACCACCAATCTTGGAGTTTAAATTGACCTTGCAGTCCAGTATATTAGCCCACAGCACCACACCAGGACTCCTGTGTTTTATAGGAGCTTGTAAATGGAGTGTTGTAAAAATACCAGCATCCCTTGAACACTGTCCTGGTGTGGTGTCATAGGATTGGCACTGGACTGTGAGCCACTAGGTCGGCACTTTAAACCCACCAGAAACCTTATATAGGGTCACTATGAGTTAGAATGGACTCGACAGTACTTAACAACAACAAGGTATGTTTTATAGGCGTTTGTAAATGGAGTATTGTAAAAATATTAGCCCCCCTGAACACTGTAGAAGCGATGTTAGCTTCTCTTAAGTTCTTGGGCTTCTGGCTCCTACTCCTACTCCTAACGTTGGAACTATAACAAGCAATTCAAACTTGCAAAGGGTCACACCCAGCTTACCCCCTATAACTGTCATTAATCTCCAATTTCATTCTGCTCTAGATCCAGTAATAACTTTACAGGGACCCTTTAACTTTACTCAAGCACCTGAAATTGAAGCAAGAGATGAGTATGTTGTTGGTAATCCGTTTGCGAAAGACTTGAGTAACTTTTTCTTTACTGACCATAACACCAGACATTCAGAATCTGATACTGATTTGATTCTAGGAACAGTCTGACCTTAAACTTGAAAGGTTTGAGTGGCTGGTATCCTGGAAACTCTCAGGCTACATGTAGAACTGATGACAGTCAGTGTTCAGAGGGAAATTTACAACAGAATGGGGATCTGAAATTGAGAGAAAATGACAGCAGGGTCCGTGACTTCTTCTAAGTTTGTAGTGAGTGAGTCTCAGAGTGCTTCCTTGTTAATGGGAAAAAGCGTTACACAAACTTAGGGCATTATCGAAAGTCAGTCATTAACTTAGGCAACCCACACCATTCCTCTAGTGCCTAAGGAAACTGGGAAATACAGTCTCCTTCCATAACTTTCATACTTAGTCATGCCTAAAATCTCATTAACAACATCATTTGCAATCCACTTGCTTGAGACGG